TCTAGGGGGAGTTCTGGGGAGTCCTTGCCCCAGCCACATCTTGTAAGGAAGGTGGAATAGCAGGAGCAAACCTCAGGAAATGTGGTCTGGAAAAGCTGCAGTGGGAACTCTTGGTTTGATTGGGAGCAAAGGAAGAGTGGAAATCTGAGAGTGTGCCCAAAGGATTCCTGTGTGTGTCCCAAAGGCAGCACTGGCCAGGGCTCAGTATCCCACAGTGTGCACTGTACAGGGCAACAGAGGAGGGAAAGGCAGGGAGAGGGGAATGCTCCCAAAGATCGAGGGCAGGGATGAGAACACTGTCTTCCAATCCAGTGCCCAATCCATCCTCATGCGCTGCCCCACAATCAGCACAGATCCTGCTACTTTTTCAATTTCTTACTTGACTCATTTTCTTGTAAGTCTGATGTTATCTCTGTGCTCGTATGAGATGTTGGCAGCAGAAATACTGACTTCTAACACTGCAGTGCCAAAGTCATCTCTACTCCAGGGTTGCTCCTTGGTGCAAACCCTGGGCTGCATGGGAGGCTGCTGGACCTCGGATTTTGGTGGCTTACATCATTAGGTCTGAGCTCTTCAGGTCTGTGTTGGCAACATCCTCTTCACAAAAAATATTTCAGGAGTTATTTTCTCACAGGACCAGGAGTGGTGAAATTTTGGGGAGGGGGAAATACGAAAGAAAACAACCGCCTCTCTAGTGGTGGAGTCATCTCTCCATGGCACAATGGTTCAGGTACTCAGCACTGTCTTCTCTTCTAAGGCAGCCTTTGTGGAGGAGGATGAAGTGAAGCTTTGATCTTTAGCAATGCCTTTTAACTGTGGTTATGGCCAGAAAAGTGACTGTAGAGAGCTAAAAGTTGATGTTCAGTGAAATCTCATTGCACAGACATGGAATAACCTGTTATTGGGGACACCTGGGGTGACAGCACTGACTACGCACCTCACCAGCCCTTGTTCCCCTGGCCTTTCTCCTGTCTCAAATGTCCTGTTCAATTCATTAACTAACTGAAACCTTTGCTAAAATGTGCGTGCCATCTCCCTTTGCAAGGAGATCAGGAAAACTTGATAGAAGCACTGGTGGCTTGTCAGCCCTCCCAGAATGTCAGAGTGGCTGCTCCTGCCCTCAGGGCCAAAGCCAAACTGTGCCTCCCGCTAGGTACCCCTCATACCTGGGACCTGGGTCAGGATGGCTCATCCAAATAAAGGCAAACCTGGTAATTCACTCTCTTACAACTGGAAACTGCTGTACAAATAAGAGGCACACCACAGATTCCTGCCTGAGGGATGCAGGAATGTGTGCCAGCTCCTCCTTTGGGGCAGCCACTGGTGGGCTGCCCTGGAGGGGCTGGGGCTGGGCTGCCCAGGGAGCTGGACGAGCTGCCACGGCAACATTTATGCCAGGAATGTGATTAAAACCTGGAAAAACTGAGGCCAGCCTATTCCCAGAGGCACTATAAGGTAACATATGCCAGAGTAGCACACACAGCCCCTGTCTCGGCCTCAGGCTGGCCGGCCCGAGGCCACAGGCTGGGGCAGCGCCATGTGGGGACCTGGCGGGTTGTGCCCGTCTGGGTAGGCTGTGTTGGTACCTGGACACCTCGGAGTGGTTTCCCAGTCTCCAAACACAGAGCAGCTCTCGATTCCAGGGGAGAGAAGCTCGGTGTTTCACGGAGCTGCCGCTCTGTGCCTCAGGCAATCCCCCCTGAGCAGGCCGGGGAGCGGAGCCCGCAGCGAGCACAGGGAGGGCTGTGCACGTCCCCACAGCTGGGGCCGAGCCCTGGCCCCTTCCAGGAGCGGAGCCCGAGCCCCAGGCAGCCCTGGCCTTACGCAGGGGTCCCCTCCAGCCAAGGCTGCCTGCTGCTTGCCCCCATGTTTTTTCTGAGCTGGATGTCGGCACAGGGCTGAGCTGCTGGCAGCGGAGCTGGCTCAGTGCCACCCGACCTGCCTTGCATGTCACCAGCACTGCTCTGCTGTGCCCCTGGAGCTGAGCAGGTGTCACCAGCCCTATCTCTCCTCATCTGCCTGGTGGCTCAGCTCCCCTGGGGCTGAGCCTTTGTGCTCCACCAGCTCGGCTTTAGCTCAAAGCACTCCTGCCCCAGGAGCTGGCAGGAGCAGCCGGAGCATTTGGGTTTCTCCTCCTGTTTTCAGGAGGAAACTGTTCATGCAGCACAAGGCAGAGCTCCTTCCCCGTGCCCCAGTGAGGTTATTGCTGTCCCAGTTAACAGCAGTTGCATGCAGGCAGGTCTGAGCAGCCACTTTGTCTTTCAAGGAAGATCCTTATCTGAGGAGGTTCTCTGCCACATACTCTGTGTCACAGAGCAGTGTGTACTTGCTTGTATATGTAAAGTTGTACTTTGTGCAGCCCCACGGTCTTGGTCCAGGGTTATTCTGTGGAGTGTTGATACGTTTGGGGTTTTTTGGGACAGCTGGAGAGATCCCTGCTTTCCAATTTCTGTACCATCAGAAAATTTCTTCAGTAGAAAAATGTCTTTAGGTAGAACAAGCAGCCTGGAATTAAGAGTGCCTGACTAAGCTTGAATTCAGAACCCTCCAACCCCTGCATAAGTCCTGCTGAATTCAGTAAAAATCTTGTGAGCAACCTCTCACACTGATTTTGTGGGATAACTCTCATTATCATTATTTTCCCAGATATTGTTTCCCTAAAACAAAAAACAATTATTGTATATCTTTAGAGTATGTTTTTAGACTGGAAATCTTCAAACCCAAACACACAGAATCTTTACTGGATGAATTTTCCGTGTTATTCACATTTCCCTTGTCTCTGCCCAGCTGAGACTGGGTCTACAGGGCCCTAAGCCAGTCCTGCAGCCCAGTGTGGGGTTCACCCACCGCCTCAAGAAGGAAACCTGACGCTTCCTGTACTGTGAGGAAGTAGAAGCCTGCAGAAAATGTGACATTGGGAACCCCAGCCTGGGGTGAATCCTGACCTCAGTGAATCAGAGGAGCAGCAAATCCTGAGCTCTGATGGGAAGGCTTTGCTCCCCTTTAAGACTGAACTGTCTTTTGTTCTTGTACCTTCCTGCACAGGCAAAGTTTGCAGCCTGGAGATAAAGCCAGCCCGCTGAGGGGTTTCTGACACAATTCATGCCAATCCTTCTCAGGGACACCTTCTACTCCCTCCCTTACTCTAAAGCTGAAAAAGGGAGGGGTATTTTTGAAAGGTTGTGAATCCACCAAGGAAAGCTGCAGGAAGGGTTGAACAGCGTGAGCTGCTTTCACCAACCCACACTGGGCAGTGTGGGGTAAAACTCCTTTTTGCTGTTTAGTGGCTCTAACCAGTGTGAGAGGTTGACCACAAAGTGCAGCAAATGCTGGAACTTCAGCAGGATTTATGCAAATGTTTGAGGGTTCCTCTGAATTCAAGCTTAGCCAGGCCCACTCCAGTTCTAGGCCACTTCGGCTTGGTTGGGTTTGTTACATGATCTGAGATCAGAGATAGAAAAGCGCTGGTTTTTGTAGGCCTGACTCTCTTTAAGTGGGTTAACTTGAGGGGGATTTTTGTGTTTACCCAGCAACTCTGAATTACTGATGTTTTTTGTGACAATATCGTGAGCCTGGTGGTATCTGATTTGTGCTTAGGTTCTCGTGTCATTCCAGGAGCTGCACTTCTCTAAGCTTTTAGAATTTCTATTTCCCTCCCTGGTTATGGAAGAATTTACAAAACAAACCTCCGAAACAACTACTTGGGGGAAGGGAGGGGGAGGGCAGGGAGAGTGCAAGAAATTCTTATTTTTAGAAGCTCCCTGTTGAGGCTGTGCCCTGTGAATGTTGAGCACGGGGGTTAGCACACCCCAGGTTTCAGCTGTGCTCAGCGAGTCTCTGCAGCCCACACACCACTGCTGGGTGGCTTTTGAGCACTAAGAGCCCAGAGTAGGTGAGTCTGTAGCTTTGTTTTGGAGTCTGCTCCATCAGCTCACATGAAAGTGGGGGCTGCTTTCAGTGCAGGAGGTTCCTCCTTCGGTTTCTGCCCTGCCACTCATAAAGGCAGCTGTGTTGTGTGTGGTTAGCTGAGCTCCCTCCAGAGCAGGCAGCCCTTGCCAGATGCACTTTGAGTCAGGCAGGGCTGTGCCAAAGCCATCAGGAGCCCAGCACTCCTTGCTTGGAAAACCTGAGCATATCCACACAAGGAAATTGATAGCCAGAATTTTTGTCAATATTTGGAGTTTCAGCAAGGAGGGAAAAATAAAAATAATAAAAAAAAAGGATAACAGTTTCCTGTTTTTAAGCATTTCTAGAAATGCACAGTTGGGTAACACACAGCCCTTCATTTCCCACAAAATAAACAAAAAGTGTAAAGTAATGCATTTTTTCCCCTACCACAAACACCCTTAACTGTGACCTGCTTGGCTGCTTCTCCTTCAGCAGCAACCTCAAAACACAAACAGCACACAAACCCTCCGAAAGGAGTCATAGAGATCTTCACATGCCACTCCAGAGGTGTTCCCTGGTGGCTTTGGAGCAGCAGTGCAGCAGGTGGGCACGTCGGTCACTGGGACTGGGACTGAACTGCTCACAGCGAGCATTGGGGTGACACAGCCCCCATGAGGTGACAGCCCCTGTGAGGTGACACAGCCCCCGTGAGGTGACACAGCCCCCATGAGGTGACAGCCCCCGTGAGGTGACAGCCCCAGCAGCTCCTCTGCTGTTTGCAGAGCTCCAGTGAACCTGAACGCTGCTCCCACCCAAAGCCAGCAGCCAGCAAAGCAGAGCAGAGCAAGCCCTGGTTTGCATAGGGGCTCCTGGACCCCAAAGGCTCTGATTGCCCCTGGCAGGTGGAAATGGCAGCCGGCAAAGCAGAGCAGAGTAACCCCTGGTTTGCATAGGGGCTCCTGGAGCCTGGGCTCTTGCTCCTCGGGCAGCTGGCGCTGGCAGCCGGTGCAGGGCAGCTGTGGGCCCTGCAGGTGCTCCCAGCTCAGAGGGAGAACCAGAGGGCAGTTCCTGCTTTAGTCACATCTCTGAGGGCTGGTTCTCTCTCTCCCCAGGAGGCTCTGTCGGTGGTGAGCGACGACCAGTCCCTGTTCGACCCCACGTACGGCGCGGCCGCGCAGCTCCCCAAGGACATGACGGCCTCCGGCAGCCCCGACTTCGGGCAGCCCCACAAGATCAACCCCCTGCCCCCCCAGCAGGAGTGGATCAACCAGCCCATGAGGGTCAGTGTCAAACGGGAGTACGACCACATGAACGGATCCAGGTAAGGAAAGACCCTTTCCACGCTTACAGTCTTAAACATGGAATCACAGAATGTCCCAGCTGGGAGGGACCGCAGGGATCATTGAACCCGGCTCCTGAATCCAAACCCTGAGCCCAAATGAAGGCAAAACACCCACTGTCCGTTTGTGCTCTTTCCCTGCACATCAACACCTCTGTGCAGGACCATGTCCCAGTCTCCTGCAGTTCCTTCTTTTGTGACTCATTTTTATCAGCCTGAGCACCCTGCTGGAGCAGTCCTGCAGGACGTGTCCCTCCCAGTCTCCATGGACACTCCATGGACTGGACATGAGACTGCCAGGGCAGAGCTCATGCTGCAAATGCTGCTGTAAATCCCACATTTCACCTCTGACTTCAGCACCCCATGGATGTGCTGTGTTTCCAGGGGCTCACAGAGGGAACATGCAGCAATAATCAGAGTTTCTGCCAGTGAAGCACTGAAAGCTGCACTGCTGGGCTGCCAGGGCTTCCCTGAAGGACACCTTTTATTTGTGCTCTACCAGGCCATAAGCAAACGTCTGGGAATTGAAAGCTTTTTGATGTCTCAAGCTGCATCAAGTGAAATATAGGTTGGATATTAGGAAAAAAGTTTTTTACAGAAAGAGTGATAAAGTTCTGGAATGGCTGCCCGGAGAGGTGGTGCAGTCACCATCCCTGGGTGTGTTTAACAAAGCCTGGATGTGGCACTGGGTGCCAGGGTTGAGTTGAGATGTTGGGACTGGTTGAGAGAGACTTGAAAGTCTCTCTCAACCTGGTCATTCTGTGATTTTGTGGTTCTGTGGAGAAGGAAGGAGACTGAGGTCCTTTATGGGAGTCTGCGAGGTGGAACAAAACCAAAGGCCTGTGCCTGTTGGAGTTCTGGATGCTGAGAATTTTAGACTTTCTGTGCTAACAGACTCTGACTCCCAGAAGAACACTGCATTTAACCTGAAGCCATAAAAAACTTCCAAAATTAATTGACAACACTGAAATTACAAGTGTATCATTAATTAAAAGTATATAATATCACAAAGTAAAAAATTTAGAGTTTTAAAATATATTAATGGATATAAAACAAGATAAAAGTTTTAAAACAAAATCAAGTTATTCTTCTTCAAGTTATTCTTCCTTCTTCTTCATAAGTTTAAATAGTATTTTGTAATGAAACAGAAAAGTCCACATTACAGACTTCGAATAATTATTTAATATAATAAAAATAAAAATAAAAATCATTGTGCCTACCCTTTCTGAGTGGATAGAGGAGACACAGGGAATTCAGGAGCCATTGGAGAAGGTTAATTTTGTGAAGCCCCACAGGGTGCCTGGGGATGGTGTAACCTGCCCAGCTCACAGCCAAAGCACAGCCCAGCTGTGTCATTTGTACTTAGAGGTGAATCCTTTCTCTGGTCAATGAGAAATTGAATGGCTTGAAAACATTTTGTTAATGGATTCTTTGCTTTTTTTCTGCTAAGGCTGGGATTAAATCCGAGATAGTATTTTTTGTTTGGACTCAGTTATTTATTAGTTTTTAGTGGGATGGGATGGGATGGGATGGGATGGGATGGGATGGGATGGGATGGGATGGGATGGGATGGGATGGGATGGGATGAGCTTTAAGGTCCCTCCCAACCCAAACCACCCTGGGATTCTGTGGTTGCTGCAGTTGCTCACGCCCCCAGTGCCAGACCCATGCACACAGAGGGGTTCCTCCCTTTCCACTCCTCTGTCCCAGGGAAATATGGCAAGGAAAAGGAGCCCTCCACATCCTCTGAGCTGCCGTAAACCACATGTGTCTGTGCTCTGCAGGTCCTATATGCATAAGCTCTGTATCATCCTGAGTGTATCTGTACTTGTACACCCAAATTGTCTGAGTGTTCTGTGTGCTCTGGAATGAAACGTCCTGGGCTGTCTTTCCATGGTGATTCCTGTGTAGCCATTTCCTCCTCTATCCAGAAAAAAGGGAAATAGCTCTGCCTGGACAAACTGATTCATGAATAACTGTAGGAGCCCTGGGAGCCATGGAAAAGGCCCTTGGATTGTGTTGGTTCTGGGCAAACAGGAAATCCTTCATCACAGACTTGCTCAAGACTCCAGGATTCTTGGACGTGAAATATGTGTTCAGTGTCCCTAAAGACAGGTAACCCCCTGTCAGGAGAGAAGAAAAGGCTGCTGTGAACGTCAGGGCCATGCACTGCCAGAGCTCCCAGCCCTCCTCTGGATAACTCCTTAGCATGGGAGCTCCAGGGCACCCAGGACAGGATAACATTCTCTCTATCCTACATCCCCTCATCCCTGCCCTGCATGTCCATCCCAGTCTGTGGGGATGGACTGGACCACTCCAATCACTCATTCCCCTGTCCATCAGCTGCCTGGCCAACCCCACACACGCAGCCAATCCCAACCCCAATCCCAGGCTGAATCCCAACCCCAATCCTAACCCCAATGCCAAGCCCAAACTAATCCCTATCCCAACTCCAATGCCAATCCCAACCCCAAACTAATCCCAATGCCAACCCCAATCCCACCTAACTCCAGCTGCAGGCTGTACAACACCCAGTGCCCCCTGCCCCTGGCTCTGCCCCTGGCTCTGCCTCTCTCACTCTCAAGTGTCCTGTCCCCGAGTTGCAGGTGTCCCCCAGCAGAGCCAGCCTGGCCTGTGCTGTCACCAGGGAGTTCTGCAGGGCTGGGGTTGTGTGCTCTCCAGGGACTGCCAGTGCCAGGGGACAGCAGGGACAGTGCCTGGCTTTGCTCTTTCCCTCAGACCAGGAGCCGGGCTGAGGGTGTGGTGGGGGTTTGGTCCTCAGCAGGGTGGGAGAAGGGTCTTTGGAGGACTCTCAAAGTGTTAGCCAACATAGAAAGCCCACCCAGCTCTCTACCCCATGCCAGGATCCTCTGGTTTACCCTGAGACTGGAAAGAATGTTCCAGATAAGTGCATCCTAAATGTCTGTAGTGCCTGCTCAGGCAGGCATCAATGTTTCTGGGGAGAAGATGGGAATTCTGTATTATTGCAACATTCAGATGTAGACATTTCATTAACTCCTTTACTTTTATCAGACCCTGAGGCAGGTTATGGCCTCAAAATCTGCCCTTGCATCTTGCTCAGAGCAAAACCCATTTAAAATTATATTTTAAAAGCAAAACAAATTTTTTTTAAAATTCACATTTGAAATTTTACTGAATAAAGGAGGAGGATTATTTAGATGAATGCTGGGTAAAGTTTAACCCAATTTACAACCAATGGTAATAATAGAGTTTTTCTTATATTTTACATAAATTCAAAATGAATGCCAGATCTTGTCCGTATTTACTGAGCTTCCCCTAATCTGCATTTGCAGCTAAATTCGGTGAGACATTTAAAAAAATATTACAAAATGTATCTGATCTTCGAATGTGAAAGAAAGTTCTCCTGGGCTGATGGATGTGGGCAAACTTCCCCGGGCAATCCCAGCTGTGGCACAGATTTTGTCCAGCTGAAATAATGAAATTTGGGGATGCTCTGGAGCCGTTCTGCAGAGACATCCCAGAGCAGCTGTGGCTGCCCCTGGATCCCTGGCAGTGCCCAAGGCCAGGCTGGGCAGGGCTTGGAGCAGCCTGGGATAACCCTGGGAGGTGTCCCTGCCATGGCAGGGCTGGCACTGGATGGGCTTGAAGGCTCCTTCCAGTCCAAACCCCTCTGTGGTTCTATGATGTGATGTGATGTTTCTCTTGCTCCAGAACATGAAAATCCCGCCAAGGTTGGGGGTCCCCATGGTGTTTGTGCCCGGGGCTGTGTCTGCCCAAGGCAAGGGGAGCTGCTCTGGTGCCTGCAGGGAGGAGCTCCCCGCGGAGCCCTCTAGTGGGATCTGCCGGCTCCTTCTGCCCCAGCATCTCCCTCCTGTCTGCCTTCACCTGGCTGGCACAGACCACCCGAACCTTGCCATCTTTTTGGCCGTTCTGCAGCCTCTTTCAGGAGTTTCCCTCCTCCCGAGGCATCCCTGAGAGCAGGGTTGAAGCGCAGGCAGATGCAAGTTTGGAGGAGCTGGCTGTTCCCTCTGTAAGAGGGGACCACAGGCAGAACCCTGGTGCGTGTTCTTCCTTCCTTCACTCAACAGCAACAACAACAAATTAAAATGGGGCTCTGCACCAAAAGGCATCAAATTTCAAAAGAAAAGAGGGCTGGAAGAAAGGAGGAATGAAAGGATAGGAAAAGAGTGATAGAAAGGAGGAAATATTCCCCTGAGTCATGTTCAGAAATTCCTGAAATCTCTTGCTCCTTCAAGCAGAAGTCAAAGGTGGTTCCTAGACAGAGACCTGGGACAGTGATGGTTTTATTTCCACACCTCTGGAGTGGGGCTGGAGCTGTACAGAGGATTTACTGGTCAGTGCCAAGCAAGCTGCTTGTCCATTTTGGCCAGTCTAGGAAAAATTTTCCCAACCAAAAGATGCAAATTCTTGGCATCCCCAGAGAGAGCTGCTGGAACAAGGAGCCTCTGGACATTGGGAATGAGTTGTGCTTCCTGTTCCTTGGACTTTGCCTGTGCAACAGGGGCTGTGCTCTGGGGAACTTGTGAATCCAGCCTGTGCCATTTACCTGTGGGCATCCACAAAACTTCCTGCCAGAGCCTGAGCAAATGCAGCATGGAGAGCACTGCAACGTCTGGAGTCTCTGGGAAAAGCCAGGGATTGATGTGGCAGCAGAAATGCCCTGGCACAAACCCTTTCAAATGATGAGGGAGTATTTCTATGAATCCCAGCCTGCCTGTGGGTGATGGAGGAGCTGAGGAAGGAGTGATATTTCATGAATTCATCCATGGCTCACAGCTCCCTGCTCTCCTCTGATACTACAATTGCTCCCCAGGCTGAATCCTCCCCTGTGTGGCCACAGCTACATCCCCCTCCTGCTGGGGTAAATCCCTCACCTGGGGCAGGGCAGGGCAGGGGCTGCAGGGGTGACTCAGGCTGGCAGAACTTCTCAATTCCCAAGAAAAGGCTGTGTTTGGTAGGAAATGCTGGGTTCCAGAGGACACAAAGTTAAGGATCTTCTCCCTTGCTGTCAATGAAGATTCCATGGTGCTTTCTCAGGGACAGCTTAGTCTCCTGCCCAGCTGGGTGATGCTGTTCCCAGCTATGTGTGTCCTACAGGGTCAGCTCTGGATGCAGCCATCCCCAAAACTTCCCCAGAGGGAAGGAAGACAGCTCTGCAGGCACAGGGACATGACCCTGCCAGGCACCTGGAGCACATTCAGTGTCCTGCAGGATTCGTGGAGTTGCTCCTCTGCCCACAGTGCCCAGCAGGGGCACCTCAGTCCCTTAAAGTCCCAAGTCCCTTCAGACCTTTCTGCCAGAGGTTTCTGGTACTTGGCTGTCTGGGTTGGGCTGCTGAGACAGAGTTAGGGATGGGCAGGGTCTGAACTGCCAGAGCAGAGTCTGTGGTGTGAAAAAATCATCCCAAAAACACCAAGGGCATCTCACAGCCTCAGGGTTATTTTGGTTACTTCACTGTGAAGGTCACTGTGCATGGTGTGAGCAGGGAGCACAGCCAGCCAAGGACTCTGCTCTGTGCCTGTGCTCATTCCATGCCAGCAGAAACACGGAGAGGCTCTTTACAAGGTGTTGTCATCCAAGAGTCTGGATATCCCAGAGTCACAGAATCCCTGAGAGGTTTGGGCTGGAAAGGACTTTAGACACCATCCAAATCCAAACCCCTGCCATGGGCAGGGACACCTTCCACTGTCCCAGGCTGCTCCAAACCCCATCCAGCCTGGCCTTGGACACTGCTAGGGATCCAGGGGCAGCCACAGCTGCTCTGGGCACCCAGTGCCAGGGCCTGCCCACCCTCACAGGGAGAAATTCCTTCCCAATATCCCATCTAACCCTGTCCTCTGGCAGTGGAAGCCATTGCCTGTGTCCTGGAGCTGTATGAGTGAAATATATAGAATTATTTGTTCATAAATAGTGCCTGTCCCATCTGCAGGGGCATTTTCCAGGGACATTTTACTCCAGAACAGGATGGGAGAGGGAGCTCTGGACCCCAGGCAGGGCAGGAGAGGACATTGGTCACTCACCAGGGGTAGTGACCTATGAACACAACAGAGTCCCTGGAGAACAATGTGAGACCCTGGGGCACAGTGTCACACCATGGAGCAGAGTGACACCTGGAGCAGAGTGTGACAGCCTGGAGCACAATGTGAGACCCTGGAGCACAGTGTCACACCCTGGAGCTTGCTGTGACAGCCTGGAGTACAGTGTGACAGCCTGGAGCAGGATCTGACACCCTGGAGCACAATGTCACACCCTGGGACACTGTGTGACACCATGGTGCATCATGTGACACCCTTGAGCACAGTCTGACACCCTGGAGTAGGGTATGGCTCCTTGGAGCACAGTGTCACACCCCTGAGCACAGTGTCACACCCTAGATCACAGTGTCACACCCTGGAGGACAATGTGACATGCTGGAGGACAGTATGTGCCCCTGGAGCACAGGGTCATGCCTGGATCATGGTGTCACACCTGGATCATCACACCCGCATCATCCTGTCACACCTGGAGCACAGTGTCACATCTAGAGCAGTATCATACCTGGATCACTCTGTCATAGTTGGAGCAGTGTCATACCTGGATCACTCTGTCACATCTGGATCACTCTGTCACACCCGGATCACTCTGTCACACATGGATCACGCTGTCACACCCGGATCACTCTGTCACACCTGGATCACGCTGTCACACCTGGATCACTCTGTCACACGTGGATCACTCTGTCACACGTGGATCACTCTGTCACACCCGGATCACTCTGTCACACGTGGATCACTCTGTCACACCCGGATCACTCTGTCACACCTGGATCACGCTGTCACACCTGGATCACTCTGTCACATGTGGATCACGCTGTCACACCCGGATCACTCTGTCACATGTGGATCACTCTGTCACACCTGGATCACTCTGTCACACCCAGATCACTCTGTCACATGTGGATCACTCTGTCACACCTGGATCACTCTGTCACATCTGGAGCAGTGTCACACCCTGGATCACTCTGTCCCACCCAGACTGCGCGGTCACACCTGGATCTCAGATGCCACCCTGGCCCTCCCCAGCCCAGGCCATGCCCAGCAGCACTCAGCTCTCAGCTCTGTGCCCAGCAGATCTCAGCTCCATGTCCAGCAGGTCTCAGCTCTGTGCCCAGACACTCAGCTCTGTGCCCAAGCACTCAGCTCTGTGCCCAAACACTCAGCTCTGTGCCCAAACACTCAGCTCTCTGCTCCTGCCCCCGCGCTGCTCTGGCCAGCCCCGCTGTGCCCAGCAGCACACTCAGCTCTGTGCCCAAACACTCAGCTCTGTGCCCAAACACTCAGCTCTGTGCCCAGCAGCACTCAGCTCTGTGCCCAGCAGCACTCAGCTCTGTGCCCAAGCACTCAGCTCTGTGCCCAAACACTCAGCTCTGTGCCCAAACACTCAGCTCCCTGCTGCTGCCCCAGGGCTGTTCCTGCCAGCCCAGGGCTTTCCCCCTGGCAGGAGCAGTGCCCTAGGGAGCCAGCACTGCTGATTCTCCCCGTGAAAGCCCCGTGTCCTTGCAGCTCCTCAGCCTCTCCCGGCTGAGGGGACATCGAGCCTTCAGCAGTTGCCTCTGAAGGCAGATTTTGGTTCCCTGCCTGGAAAAACAGTAGGCGAACTAGTAAACCCTTAAATTCGAACATGTGTAAGTTATACATCTTATTTCCATTTTCCAGCAACATTCCCTTCGTCAGACATGAGGAAAAAATTACGGTCTGCCTTGGAATATCTCGGTGGAGCATTTATCTCCCAGCCATGATAACTGAATTTCAGGCACTTCTCCCTCCCTCCAGCTCAGGTTAAGAGACAAATTTGTTTAGTGTCCTGTTTGGAACTCTTGCCAGCTGAGCTTGGAGGGTGGGATTTGTGCACTGTCACCATTCTTACCCTGCAGGGAATGGTTCCCTCTCAAAGCTCTTGGCTTCTGCCAGAGGAGGAGGACAGCCCTGGGGTTAAAGCATGGCCTAAACTGCCCTGGAAATGGCTCTGGGATTAAAGCCTGGGCTTGCTCTGTGCAGAGATTGTGCACTAATTCCCGCCTTGGGAAGGTGAGGGCAATGATTGCCCTTCCCTGGAAGCCCCTCGAGGTGGGATGTGCTGTGTGTGCCTGGCAGGCTTGGGGCTGGACTTTGAAGGGACAAAAGGCAGGAGCTGCTCCTGCAGCTGGAGAAAAGCACAATCCCTGTTCCCTGTCTGGGCTTTGGAGACTCCCAGTTCTCCCAGAGTCTTCCCAAGGGTCTGCAGTAGGCCAGGCCTTAGCACGGTGCCACCTGAGCTGCTGGATGTCCCCTCTGTCACTCCAGCACCTCAAGAGTTAAACTGGGGCCAGAACCCTTTTCACACCCCTGAAGTTCCTGACTCATGCCTGGGCCATCCAAGATTCCCAGATTTCCTCACCAGGTAGTGAACTGTGGCACTATTAATCAGAGAATAATAGAATAACAGAAAAATTGAATAATTGAACAATAGAATCATTGAACAGGCTGTGTTGGAAGGATCACCACAGGATCACTGAGTCCATCTCCTGTTCCTGCACAGGACACCCCAGCAATCCCACCCTGTCCCTGAATGTTATCCAAATTCTCCTGCAGCTCTGGAGGCTCCAAGCACAGACAAGCTCTGTCCCATTCAGCCCTGGACAGATCAGACTCTGTGCTGCCACTGGGTGTTCTCGGGGACAGCCCTGTCCCTTTGGGTGGGTGTTCTGGGTTCTTTGTGGATGCCATGAAAGGGCTGTTCCTGTGTCCCTGTGAGCTCTGCAGGTGAGCAGAGCACCTGTGTGCCACTGCCAGGCCCCAGTGCAACACGAGGGCTGTTTTAGCACACAAAGGGTGGAACAGCCTGACAAGGCTCCCAGGAGCAGCCAGCCTGCCTGCAGGACTGCTGGAGTGCCCTGAGCAGCCAGGGGTGAGGGAGTGGGGAGTAACCCACAGACTGGTGTCCTGGGCGGTTTGGGCATGCTGGTATTTCAGGGCCACTGCAGACATTGCCTTGTCTGGAGTAATTCCCCTGGAGACTCCAGCTGCATTATCAGGAATCCCCTGTGTGCCCCACAGACCCCTAATGGCACCAAGTTACAGGTTAGGAATGGCCTGTCCATAAGGGAAAGGGACACCTGAGTGTCCCCCCATGGGCCTGTGTCCGTAGTGTGCGCCAGCCCCTCCTGTGTGCAGGGCTGGAGGGCTCTGATGGTGACCCAGCTTTGCTTTGCCTTGCAGGGAGTCCCCTGTGGACTGCAGCGTGAGCAAGTGTGGCAAGCTGGTGGGAGCAGGGCCCGAGTCCAGCCCCATGAGCTACAGCACCTACATGGATGAGAAGAACGGGCCTCCCCCCAACATGACCACCAACGAGAGGAGGGTCATCGTCCCCGCAGGTACTGCCACGGGCTGGGCCAGCTGGGCCTGCTCTGCCTGGAAGAGATTTTTGTTTGGTTTGTTTATCCTCTCCCAGAGGAATTTTCTCTCTTACAAACCACACAAAAAATAAGGAAAATATCAGAGTTTCTGGCTAGTGGGAATTCCCATGTTCCTGAGCATGATCTGAATCAGGATAGGCAGCAGATTACTGGTGTTTTCTCTTTCCTTTTTTTTAAATTTTGTTTTAATTTTTTTTCCCCGGAATGCAGTGTTGTTTTGGTGCACTGAACCAAATCCACCTCCTGTCATGTGCTAGAGGAGAATCTGCTTCCTGGGACACACAGGGGATGACCAAAGAGGAATGAAGTGGGCCCAAGTTATAACTCCCCTGGTGCTCTCAGGATCCAGCTGCGCTTTCAAGTCACACTGATTGATTCAAAATGAGCTATTTTGTTTCCATTTTTTTTGTTAGAAGTAGAAACCCAGAAAAATTCTATTTTGCAGGAACTGTGTTATCCTTCCAAAAATTGTCACACAGAAACATTCCTGTCCAGCTTTGTTTGTGTTTGGTATCCACATCTGCTGCCTGGAGCTGGCAGGATGCTCTGGATGCTTTTGGATACGCAGGGGTGAGAGCTGCTCTGAGGGAAGCCTCAACCTGGAGTGAGGAGCTGTTTCCCTGTGAAGTTTATAAACAGCCAGGGCCAGGAAGTTTCCAGCAAAGGAGCCAAGTGCTGGCCCAGTGACATCCCAGAACTTGCCCTGCTCTGAGGCTTTCTGCAGGGCAGGAGGGCAGGCAGACAGTGCTGGCAGGAGGGAATGCACTCGTGGAATTCAGCTCCTTTCTCTTGACCACGAGCAGATGACAATTCCCAAGCATTTGTTTGCCATTTAGGATGTAAAGGAAAGGCTTGAACTGAATGCAGTGAGGAGAAGCCAATAAAGGATTGATAGCAAACCTCTAAATCCCATTCAGGCTGATGTTTGAGGGATGGGCTGAGCTGCCTGGGGACAGCAGCACAGTTGCATCCAGTGTCCACCTTTCCAGCTGCTTGGAAAGGTGCAGCTGCCACCAACCAGTTCCTGTGTTATTAAAGATGTTCCAGGGGCAGTATTTATCCTGTATGTTTGAAAAATAAAACGAGGGTGAGCTACAGTTTGGCATTGTTGAAAGAGGGGAAATTACTTTCAGTGCCCCCAGTGGAAGAGAAAATTTGAAATCTCCTCTTTGAAGGAAAGTGAAGAAAAAGATTTTTCCCCCTCTTATGACCATTCACAAATCAAACCCTTGTGATCCTTGTGAAAGAGCAGAGATTTACCAGACTTTGGAAGACAATAATGAACATCATCCCAGATCTCTGGCTGCAGGAGAGGAGGCCCAAGTCATCCAAGAAAGGCATTTGGATATTTTAATTTAATCCAGAATGGAGATTTATAGCACATTAGGGTGAAGATAAGCAAGAATAATGTCACATTAGGCTTACAATAGTAGTAATAACGAGCTCTAAGCCATGTTTCAAGAAGGCAGATTTTCAGTCCCATTCAATGTCTTTTACGGTGTTTAAAGGGAGGTCACAAATTCACTCTGCCCTCTAGATGTTGGGTTGTTTTCAAAACTCAAGACAAATAATCCCATCAATTAAAAAAAAAAAAAAAAAAAAAAAGAATCCTCCCTTGAATGCTTACATTGTAAAATTCGCAGCCTTTTGCCAGTGCTTAGAAAGCAGAATTTCAATTAACTATAGCCAAAACCTGAAGGAAATCCATCTCAGAGCAGACTTGCAAAGGTGTATCCCTTGAATGCTTGCATTGTAAAATTCGCAGCCTTTTGCCAGTGCAAAGGTGTGGGGTTGTAAATTCCATGTTCTGAATTCAGCTTTCAGCAGCCCAGGTTTTCAGGGGATTCAGTGGGGAAAGGTCTCAGTTACAATTTTGGTTCCCTTGGTCTCAGTTCCCTGTTTGGTGCTGTTATTGCAGGGCTCAGGTGCCCAGGAATGCCAGGAATGGACTCTTCCTGACCTTTTGTGCCCAGGGCTGCCCTCAGCCTGAGCACCCAGTGTCCAGCCCTGGGATGAGGCACTGCTTCACACCCCCCTAAATGCAGGCAGAGGCATTTCTTGTTCTGCCCAGAGCACCCCCAGAGCCCTGGGCATGTTCTCAGCTCCCTGGGATCTGAGTGTCTGAGGTTTGTCTCCGAGCTGGAGCAGCTGTTAATGACACATCAGACATCTCCAAAGTTTGAACTCCTTCGCAATCCTGTGCAGCTGCAGCAGAACATGAATGTGCAGCTCCAGTTTGGAAATGGGATCCGTGGGGAGCTGCAGCACAGGAAACATCTGAGAGTGCTGATATGCTCTGAAAACGACTGTCAAGCACTGTGGCACCAGCTCTTGCTGGGGCCCTCTGATCTAATGCCCTTTGCAGAATTCAAAGGCTGATTGCTTTTTTTACCCACTGCTGCAGCCACTCATCTCCACAGGGCCTGAGCTCCAGCCGGGCTCGGAGCAGCTCTTACGTCAGCAGCAGCAATAAAGATCCCCCAGCTGGAGTCTGCTGACACTCAGGGACGCCCAGACAGCACAAAATCCACCCTGCCCTCGCACAGCTGGCTGGCTTTACAGGGACAGGGGAGGCAGAACTGTGCTCCTGCACCGGGGTGAATAACTGTGACTCACACCCAGGGCAAGCTGCTCTGTTCTAGAAGCACCATTTTATTTTATTATTTTATTTTATTTTATTTTATTTTATTTTATTCTTATTTTATTTTATTTTTTCTTATTTTATTTTTTTATTTTAATTTTTATTTTATTATATTTTAATTTAAATTTTTTAAAATTTTTTGTTTAGTTTAGTTTTAATTTTTTTTTTAATTTTAATTTTTATTTTATTTTATTTTTATTTTTTAATTTTCTGAGTCCCTTTGCTGACCATGAATACCCCATGCTCAGGGTCTCTTGTGCCAGCTGTGGGCTCCCTAATGCCCATGGTGGTACCCACACAGCCCTGATGTCACTGCACAGCCTTGCAGAGCCACACTGGGACAGGAAATCCCTCTCAAAGGGTTCAGCTTCCTCTGGGAAGCTTTTTTCCAGACAGAGAAGAGTCAAATGCCACCAGGGCTGTTCCCAAGCAGAGGAGGGAGCTTTGGGCATGTGGGGAAGGCAGAAGTGACCTGGCCAGGTTGTACATCCTGAGCCCTGCTCCAGCACGGTGCCTGTTCATCCTGGCAAAGGGGGTCAGTAAATTCAATACTTGCTTGTGGAAACAATGGCTCGTGCTGTGGCAGGGCTGCAGGGACTCTGGAGGTGTGTGTGTGCCCATCCTCTGCTCTCTCCTGCCAGATCCCACCCTCTGGACCCAGGAGCACGTGCGCCAGTGGCTGGAGTGGGCAATCAAGGAGTACGGCCTGATGGAGATCGACACCACCATCTTCCAGAACATGGACGGCAAGGAGCTCTGCAAAATGAACAAGGACGACTTCCTGCGCACCACCTCCCCCTACAACACAGAAATTCTGCTGTCTCACCTCAGTTACCTCAGGGAAAGTGAGTACTGCCGTGGCCATCCCAGCCCTGCCCCAGGGTGAACTCCCAGGGCTCCTCCTGCAGCAAGGGACAGGGAAATGAGCAGAGAAAGGCAAGCAGAGAGAGCAAACAGGGAAACAGGGAGTGAAATGGGCTTGGAAAGTTCACATGAACACAGATGGAGCTACTGGTGCTATCAGGGAGGTGAAGAACTGAGCAGGGCTCTGGAGGAGATTAGATAAGTCTTACAGATAACAACATCTGTGGCTATGTGATAAAAATGCACAAATTTGCCATGGAGATTAAACGTGACATTAACTGATTTGTCTCAGGCAAACGATTCCATAGCTCTGCAGTTAGAGGGCTGTGCCCTCCCCATAAGCAGGACCCACAAGTGGCCAGGGCTGGAGCTTTTCTGTGCTCCTGCAGGCCCAGGTTTGTGGGAGAGAGTTGAAAACCCAAGAGTGATTCCCCATATGTAAATGTGCTGGAGCAGATGTTGTGCAAATGAACCAGAACTCTGAGAAAAAGGTTGTGGAAACTCTTTATTGCTCCTTTCTGCCCCACACTTGAGTATGGGATGGATCCAATTCCTCTTTTTCCTCTATTAAGCCCCAAACCCAGGAGCTGTGAGCAGTCTGGAAAAGTGTTATCTCAGCACCCAAACAGGAAGATCATCTTAGGGATGGCACATGCACCTGATGATGGGAGTCTTAGATTTCAGCTTTTCCAAGACTTCTGTGCAATCATGATCACATCCACAGCTTCCAAATGTCTCCTCTTCACCTATAAATGGAGCTAAGAGCATTTCCTTTCCCCACAAAGGTGTGCTGAGGGTAATGGTGCTCTGATGAGCCGGAGAACTGGAGCTGGGCCCCACATGCTCTGCTGTTTTTCCCAGTGAAATAGCTTTTATAGGACTATCATTATTTAAGCACTCAAAAATCAGGAGAAGGTGACATAAATCAAGGTGGAAGGGCAAGGAGAGAAAGGCAAAAGTGTATTTTCTCCACTAGAAAATCCAAATATGATGAAAAGGCAGCTGAATATGTCTCCTATGGCCAGTGAAGCAGAGATACAGAATTTAGGGTGTTTCTTCAAAGTTGATCTCTCCCTGCCCAAAATCAGTGGGAGTTTCACAGATTCCAGTGGCACAGAAGTTAGATCACAGATGGGTGCCTCTGGAAGCCCCACCTTTATTTTTCTTGAGAAGTCGAGCCAAGGAAATGATTCACAACAAAAAACCCAAACTGTTGGATTTGAACAGTTGTCTCTTGTGACTGGACAATAAAATAATTTCCCATCCAAAATCATAGACAAATTTAATTCTGCTTCATCAGAAAAGAGCTGCTAGTCCACAGCAAGATTTTGAAGGATTGCCTGTGGAATTAGACAGTTTTCTGGGAAATGGGAAGGCAGTTTTGTGCAGCCAGCAGTGCTTTGGCCAAACCTGCTGACTGGGGCTGGGGAAATCAGGCACTTTGTAAGCGGAAACGCTTCTAAATTCCCACAAGATAAACACCCAAGTGAGACACTTGAGTTGTGATATTGATAAGGTTTGAGAATTGTCAGAGAGACGGACTTGGATGGAGTCAAAGCACACAAGCAGGCTGGATTTGGAAAGCTTGGCAGAGGAGTAGAATTCTCCAGGTGGCATCTCCAGGATCGTCCCCAGTGTTTGTGACCCATTGTTTGGGCTGACCAAAGGCAGGATCAGAGGAATTGCATTGTTGATCTCATGGCATGAGCCCCAAAACCTGGGCTCAGTGGCCACTTTTACCATCTGCTGCTGCTGCTCGTTTGCTCAGGAGCAACTTCCTGCTTGATCCCTTGGGCACTGAGGTCTGGTCACACTGGTGTCCAGGCAGCACCAGGGCACGCTGACACTCAGGACAGCAGTCCCTGGCTCACACCTTGCCTTTAAATACCTGAAATGAGGAGATTTTGCTGTCTGTAAGGTGGCACCAGCCATCCTGCCTTCTCGCTGGGCCCTTCCATTGGCATTGTGAGGAATGATACTCACTTCTGAAAGTTTAGAAGGTTTATTAAAACCTTATTGAAAAAAATACAACAGAAGACTGAACAGAGAAAATGTTACGGCGCCAGGAGCAGAGGATTTTTCCCACCATGTCCTCATCCACACAATGGATGGTCCACCTTTTAACCCTTTAGCCCCTCCCAAAATCTTCTCCATCGACTCTTGTTTTACTGTCCAGTGGTGGAGATCACTTCCTGGCATCTCGAGGAGATCACTTTCTTACACATTGGAGGTCAGGTGTTGCCAGAGTAACAAGCCAACCGTCCCAAATGTCCCAAACCCAGACCACCCCCTGATAACAATCCAAGGCGGGGGTAAAACATAACTATGAACCTATAAAACTTCTCTTAGCATATATATAATATTTGCCTTTTAATGGTGAGAGTCAGCTGGCATTCCTCATCTGTCACAGGATGGTGGGTCTGTGGAGCAGGGGCTGTGCCTCACACCTCCCCAGCCCAGCACTGCAGCCCTGGTGCAGCTGCAATATTTAAGTGCTGCTGCAATAATGGTCATCAACACATCCTGTCCTGCCAGGGCAGTGCCTGCAGTGATTTCTGTGCTGTTAAGACACTGCAAAACCCGAGGAACTTTGCTGGGTTCAGGCAGACTGCTCACTCCTGTTTCACAGGGAATTCAGTGCCAGTCCATGCCAGCTTTAGGATGACGGATCTGTGTGTGCTGATCCCAGACGTGCTGCGAGTGCCCTGCTCATCAGAGCAGCTCCTGGCTGCTGGAGCTGGGCAGAGCATTCCTGCTTCCCTGCAGCTGTTCCCAGCCCAGGGACAGGCTGCTCTGGGCAGTGCTGGGTGGCTTCCTCACACAGCAACACCTTCCAGAGGAGCTGATGGCTTTTCCAGACCAGCTTCCAGTGGATGCTCAGTGCCGAGCTGGAGCTCAGTGCCATGGGGATTTGGGCTTTCATTTTCACGAGTTTTCCCCTTTTGGAAGGGTCCCCTTTTGTTTGTCCCACAGACACTCGGCTCTGCTCCTGCTTAGGGTAGGGAACAGGTGATGGCCACCAGCACAGCAGGATTTGGGGGCAGTGCAGACCTACAGGCTGGGTTGCCTCTGCCCAGGCTCTCTAAAGGTGTTTGTGGTCACAGGATGTTAAGCTGGATATGTGATGATTTATGAATGCTCAACTTTGGGGTTTGTTTTCCAAGAAACAAAGCTGATCTGAACTTTCTGAGCTGTTTGCTCACCCGACAAGGAGATCTCCTGAAAATGAGCTTTCCCAGAAGGTTCTCAGCATTTCACACTCCTAATCAGGGTGAAAACATCCTTAAGACTTCCTACGAAATACATTCTTTTGGCACATCTGAGTCCAGACTGAAAAAACAAACCAGCAACATCTGCATGACCTCAGCAAAAGCTCCATCTCAGTTTTAGCAGTGGAAGGCTCAAGATGAGCTGTGTAATGAAGTCGAGAGTAACCCAAACTCATCCCACAGCACCTTTAGTCTCTGGCTTAGGCCTGGCTCAGAATGGTGCAGTTGTTTCCTGTTGCCACAAGCCACTGAAGCTGGCAGGAATTCCTCTGATCCTCAGGACATTTCAGAGTGCAGAGCCCAGTTCTGCAGCACTCTCCATCCTTTGGAGCCTCCCAAAGCACCCCAGTGGTTCTTTCAGGGAGCTCCCTGCCCACTCCCTCAAACAATCATCTTTCTTTACGTATTCCTTTTAATTCCCTCTCCAAAATCATGAAGCCATGCCTTGATTCACCTTCTTTTTGTTCATCTCCACACACTTTGGGGCTCCAGACTGATCTTTCTCCACCACATTCTGCCTGGTGAATCCTCTCCAGGCAGCTGTTGGGCAGGGGAAGGGAGTTTTGGATGCATCCATGCTGTGTTTGGGATGAAGATCAAAAGAAGCTGAGCTGCCACCTCCATCCTTTCCATCCGTGGTGGTGGGGGCCAGGCTGTGGGATGTGCACAAAGGGAAAGAGCCTGAAGGGGAAAGAATGAGGCTGTGGTGAGAGGTAGAAAAGTGTTCAGTGGTTTTGAGCCATGTGTTAATGCCCAACAAAACCATCCTGCCAAGTGCAGCAGGACCTGGATTCCAGCAGGAGCCATGCAGGGCCTGGGGAAGGTGAGGGTAAAAAAGACTTTAAAGTTAAATAAACCCCAAGGCTGTGTTCCTGTCCCTCTGAAGGATGAGCTGCCTTGTGAGAGGGAAAGGGTTTACGGGGAAAAACTCTCTTGCTTTTCAGTCCTTCTCTGTCTTTTTGTAATGAATGCAAGGAAAATAAAAGAAAAGGAAGGATCTGGGGTGCCATAAAAGAACGTGTTTAAACATTAGTTATGGGAGAACAGCCCTCACTGCATTAACCATACCAGAGAGAGCTGATCCATCCCTGGTGTCGCTGACCCAGGGAGAGGGAATAGGAACGAAAATGAAAATTCATCACCCAAAGCTCTGCCCCCGAAGGAGAGAGGGAGGAGCAACCTGGCTTGTGTCTGTCTGTCTGTCTGCTTCCCTCTGTCCTGATCTGAGTCTCTGCCTTTCTCCCTTTCCCTCCTCCATTGAAACCCTTAATAGGAAACACATTTCCCTCTCTGTGGTGTTCCCACCAGAAACCTCAGACTGCCGGGCAAAGGTGAGAACTTTGAGCAATTAAACCGGGGGAGGCGCCGGTCCTTTCCAGTGGCTTGGGCTGCATTTTTTACCCTAAAGTAGCTATAGGTTGATCCTGCTCGCTCAGTGCTATTCATCACCCCACCCCCACCGCCCCAGCCACTCATTTGCAGCCCATTTAGTCATAGAAAACCACGTTTCTGAATTCCCCAGCACTTCCCTGTCTGGCAGGGGGAAGCTGGGCTGGGCGTTGCACTCAGGATTGCTTTAAATAACCTGAAAAGGAGAGAGTGGTGGACAGGAGTTTCCCCACAGATATTCAAGAAAGAAATGCCAAAGCCAGAAACCATCAGATGAAAACATGAGTTACGTGGACAGAGTTGTTTCAATTCCTCCAGCAGCCAATCTCTCTAAATATTCCAGCCAATCCCTTTGGCTGTTGGCAGCTTCCAGAGCCAGGGTGCCCTTGGGATCCCTCTGAACTCTTTACCTCCTCCTTCACCATCCATCCTGGCCTTGGAAGCATCCCCTGACTTGCAGCATCTGGTACCATCCATCCTCCCCTCCCTGCGAGCAGCTCTGTTTCCCAGCACCTCCTGCCTCGTGTCCTGCTGGCTTGTGCAGTGTCTGGCTTTGTTTGCCTTGGGGAGGACAGAAATCCACTGCAGCAGAGGGCAGAGGGCCAGCAACATCCAGCACCTGCAATGGCTCTCAGATCTGGCAGGGACCTGCCCAAACCTCAGCTCTCACAGGAGAGACACTGTGAGAGCACAGAGGGGCAGCTGAGGTCATTTGGGACCATGTGCCCCAGAGGAATGGGCAGGGCTCAGCCCCAAGTCCTGCTCAGCTGGGACCTGCAGAGAGGGGCTCCTGCCCTGCTGAGGGGCTGGGGATGCCCAGGGGCAGGATCCCCTTTATGGAGGGGATCTGCAGAGCTGTAAAAGCACTCAGGGCAGGATTGGTGCTCCAGCCACAGCCTCAGCACAAACAGGACCCTGTGCCTTGTCAGGGCTGTCACTGACCCACCAGCAGCTGCTCCAAGAGCTGCAGGAAGGTGAGCCCAGAGGGTGATGTGAGCACACTTAACCAGACAGCCATGAAATGGACATTTCATGCTGGCTTCCCTGCACTCCCAGGATGTCCTCCTCCGTTTCCAGGAGAGTTTACAGGAGAACCAGAGGGAAATGCTTAGAAAGGAACATTTCCTCACAGACTGTGCAGAACAGAGACCCTTCCAACAGGTTCTTTTTGTGCTGCACTTGTGTGTCTCGTGGGGCTGGATGGAAAGGCTTTTCTGAAGCAAGGGAGCTGCTCCCAAATTCCCCAGAGCAGGGAGATGCTGGAATCCCAGTGAGAGCTGTGCAGCTGCTGGCCCCAAACCAAGCATGTGACACTCTAAAAATGGCCAAAAAGGTCCTGACAGTGCAATTTGTGTCTTTTCTCCTGCCTGTTCCTCAAACAGGAAATTTCTCTATCACAGCCAGTGAGAGGAAAGCTTCTTCCTTATCCTGTCACACAAACTGTGCCACAGGCATTTCTGGAGGCTGGGCTGGGATAGATCCTGTACCTGTACAACCTCACCCCTTAAGATCAGTTTTCAATGGGGGACACCAAGGCACTCAGTGAAGGAGACAAATGTCTTTATTATGCAAGTGAGGAAACAGCAGCACATGTGCTCTGCAGCTACCAAGCTTTTAGATGACTTTCACAGAAAATGTCTGCCTAATTAACAGCAAAATTTTTTTTTCATGCCATTAACAACATTTCCGACCTCCCTTGATGACTCCCCGTGGCAGAGTGTGCCCAGACTGCTCTAACTCCTTTTCTTTGCCTTGCAGGTAGCTCACTGCTGGTCTACAACACTCCATCCCACACAGATTCCTCACGTCTTGCCACCAAAGAAGGTCAGTGAAAGTCTTACATATAAATGTCCTGGGTTTGATTGGGTTAAAACTAGACCTTGTTAATAATATCCTTGGCAGAAAATGTTCTGCTCCACTCTGCATTCACAGCACAGTTAAAAAGGAATAATTCTCACTGTGCAGTCCCACCCAGGCTGGAAATGCCATCTCTGCTTGTCCAGCCAGCACCGTGGCATCAAACATGTCACTGTCACACTGGTGTTTTGCTGAGTTGTGAACTGCTGGCACATTTTCTGTTCCTGGTGTGAACAGTTTGGAATCTCACACAGACAGCAAGGTCTGAGACTCTGTTCCTCTCTGAGTTCACAGTTGAAAGGATCAAATCTTCTCACAATAAATTTCACTATTGTAAAGGCCACTCAAGTATTCCAAACCCATCCATGGATATGTAGCTTGTTTCAACCAGCAAGGAAGATGAATTGTATCTTTTTGACACTTTCATTTTGGAATACTTTGATTTTCTTTTTTGTTTCAAATAACCCATTTGTTTTTTATCTAGTAGAAATTCTGACCATGTAGCTATAGCTTAGAAACCTTGCAGTTTAAAAGTTAATAATCCTCTTGAGACTCCTTCAGGCTTTGGAGTTGTTTGTGGGTCCTTCAGTCAGGTGTTTCAGGATTTTCTCTGCACCTCCAGCCCTGCTTCTTGTTCTTATTTTTATTGACAAACTGGACTCTCAGTCAGGATAAAGTTGTGAGCATTGTTGTGACCACAGAATCCCAGAATGGCTGGTATTGGAAGGGACCTTAAGGATCACCTGGTTCCAGTCCATGGCCTTGGGCAGGGACAGGATGAAGCACATCCCTTACCTACATAGAGAAGTTGAATTGATATAGTGAATATTTGGGTGAATTTATCACCCCTAAGTAGGGTCATAAAGAGCAAAAATCCATTCTGTGCTCTGTAGCTCCTGTGTAGGGACAGGAGCCTGTAATGGGGTTTTCCTTTCCCTTTGTGCTGCTGCAGGAACATTGTGTTTGTTCCCTGGGCTCTGTTCAGCTCCTCCTTGAGAAATTTTTGTGGAGGGTGAAACTCCTGCCCACCCCCTGAGGCCAGCCTGTCCCTGTGCCCGCTCCCTGACTGTCACAAACGCTTCTCTGCTCTTCAGGAGAACGTGGCCGCATGGACAAGCCTCAAGTTTGGATTAAAAGAACACTGGGGAAAGGCAGAAGGTTTTTTATTGAAGCAGCTGGAGAGACAAAACCTCCCATTGCACTGAGGGGCTGCAGCAAACAGAGCCCACATTTAACAGCTCCTGCAGGGAGGGTCTGGCTGCCTCCTTCCTGTGCTGCCCCCGGAGCCCTCCTTTCTCCTTGCATTTCATCCCCAACATCTGCTTTAGAGCTGGACTCGAGGCCAGGGCTGCTCCTCCAGCAGCTCCTTTTGTCCGGCAGGTAAATGCCCGCTGGATCTCCCTGGCACTGGTCTCTCCTCTGAGGCAGCACAGTTGATAAAACAGGAGCCACAGAGGGACAGAGCCACTCGGGCTGTGCTCTGACTGCTGCTTTGACATTAACAGTGACTATTTAAAGTTCATCCCAGCTGGGCTTGCACTGTGTAGTCGGGATATAGTGGGAATAAAGGGAATAGAGTAGGGACATGTACTCCTTCACAGTTTCCCCTCACACCCAAACCTTTGCTCATTCTGTCTCAGGCCAGGCAGTTGCTAAAACTAAAGCCAAGAAAAGTCTGATTTTTAATTTTTTTTTACTTCAAGACAAAAAATCTGTGTAGAACTGCACTCCTCTGAATTTTTAAACACTTTGTGGCTTGAGCCTTGAGTCACTCAGGCTGAAAGAAATTTGAGGGGAAAGTGTCCCTCCCCCTGCATTTTTAGTGGCCTCGAGGGTGTCTCTGTAGTGCAGCTGACAGAGCTCTGGGTTCACTGCTGTCAGCGTGGAGCCCTCAGTTTCACATGGAACTTTCATCATGTGGCAATAAAGGACCAAGCACGCCCAGGAGAGAGGCAAATAAAAATTAAGAACTACGTAGAAATGTTGAAATCCCATCTATTCCTCCCCCATTTCTCCCTGTAGGGCATAAATTCCATCATTCCTTCCACACTGGGTGTTGGTGTAGCATAAACTGCCCCACACCAACCCACTGCAGCTGCCTGAGGTTACTGAGATAAGGGAAAGGGATGGGAGAGCACGACAGGCTGGCACATAAGGGACTGGGGGAGCAGAGTGAAGTGGCTCATCCAATAGCACAGCAGAAACTCGTGATGCTCATAAAACTGGACTTGGAATTCCTTAGTCTGGTTTTTTTTTAGGAAACAGGATTTTCCTTGTTTCCTTTTTAATGGGCTCACTTCAAGATGATATTCTTACTCCAAAAGATTATGTTCTTTTGGAAAAGGAATTTCAGGTTAAAAATCATGATTTTTTAAAAGATTTTTTAACTTCTCAAAAGATTAAACAGTTTTCTTCATGCCAATGCATCTGGAATCTACCAGTCCTGTAAATATTTCTCCTATGTCTGTGAATAAAAACAGACGAGTTTTTCTAACCACCTTCCCTTGAGGATTCAAAAGCAGGTGATGAAGTAGTACCAACCATGCCAAAGACAGGAAAAAAATACCATTTTCTTCACTCCTCCTGTAGTTTTTCTATGTAACTAGTGCAAATAACCTGCTTGTGCAGATTGCAGGGAGAGACAGGAGCCCTTTGCATACATTTACACTGTGCTTTACACAACACATTCCCTCCATGGCTGGAAAAAAGAACCCACACGTCAAAAAAAAAAAAAAAAATTAGTGCAGCTGCAGCACAGACAGCAGCAGATGTTCCAGATGCAGCACAGGCTCTGCTCCCTCCCCCAGGACGATGTCCCCAGGAGCACAGGGAGCCTGGCCCTGTCCCAGTGCTGTCCCTGGGCTGGCTTTGGTGCCCTGGCTGCAGCTGCAGACCTGACTCTCTTTTTCCCTTCTGTTTTCTGCCCTCTCACTCCCTGCAGTGCCAGCTCTGCAAACAGGAGCTGCAGCTCAAGTGCAGATCTCTGCAGCAGGAATTTTGGGAATCTTTACAGCAGATCCTGAAGTCCCACAGTGGGGCCCAGGGCAGCTGAGTGTTCTCACAGCAGACAGGTAGAACCTTGTCCTATTCCAAGGCCTCCTGCTGCCTCAGCTTCTCCCCTTCCCAGCCTCATAAACACTCCAAAGGATGGGACTGAGCGTCACTGGGACAAATTGTCTTCAGCTGCCTCAGAGGAGTAAATGGCTCTAATGAAAATCACCAGTGGTTTTTGGCTGGAGAGCAATTTTCTGGGAAATGAAATGAGGCTGCTCTCATGGCTGAATGGAAAGAGCTGTCCCCCTCCCACTGCAGAGATAGTCTGGGTCATTTTCTGGGACTGTTTGGAGAAATGAGTGATCTTCTGTGGGTACTAGAGACAGGCACAGGAATCTGAGCCCATGATCTGCCCCAGTCCAGGGAGACCCTAAAGTGCTCTCCTGCAGAACGGTGTCATTTGAGCAGGTTTCCATAGGGAAATGGAAATAATATTCATATACAACAACATTGGGAGGCCAAAGGGCCATGTCCCCAAAGGGCTCTGAGCTCTCTGGCCTCACTCCAGCACAGTTTTAAAGTTTTTAGTGTGTCAGGGTCTGTGTAATTCCTGTGTTTAATACTGGAGCAGAGTGCTGTGCAGGAGCTGAGGCCAGGGCAGAGCTGGGGGCTCTCAGTGAGGCAGAGCCCTGGTGTGTGGATGTGTGAAGTTCCCTGTGGGAATGCCTGTCCTGGGATGTGTGGTACTTTCCAATTCACAGAATGACCAGGTTGGAAGAGACCTTCAAGATCATCGAGTCCAACCCAGCCCCAACATCTCAACTCAACCCTGGCACCCAGTGCCACATCCAGGCTTTGTTAAACACACCCAGGGATGGTGACTGCACCACCTCCCCGGGCAGCCATTCCAGAACTTTATCACCCTTTCTGTAAAAAGGTTCTTCCTGGTATCCAACCTGTATTTCGCTTGGTGCAGCTGGAGTCTGTGTGCTCTGGTTCTGTCAGTGCTGCCTGGAGAAAGAGCCCAGCCCCAGCTGAGCACAGGCACCTTTCAGAGCTGTAGAGAGTGATGAGGGCACCCCTGAGTCTCCTTTTCTCCAGGCTGAGCACCCCCAGCTCCAACACTGCTGATCCCAGGGAAGTGGGTTTTGTGCAGGGAGGTGGCAGAGGGTGTGAGGGGAGGCTCAGCATCACAGGTGACAATTAACCAGAGGGGTTCCTGGGGCTGTTTGTCTCCAGATCGTTCAGGATCTTGGTTCAAAAGCTGCATTCAGCACAGGTCTGTCCTCTGCACACACTGTGCTCAGCCCAAGGTAGCAGAATCCCAGAATCCCCAAATTATTTAAATTGGAAAAGCCCTCCCAGACCATCAAATCCTACTTGTAAACAATCCCCACCTTGCCACCCAATCCAGAGCACTGAGTGCCACTTCCAGGTGTTCCTTGGACACCTCCAGGCATGGGGACTCCAAACCTCCCTGGGCAGCCCCTTCCTGTGTTTAACAAACCTTTCCATGAAGAAATTCCAACTGAGCCTCCCCTGGCACAGCCTGAGGGTGTTTCCTCTTGTCCTGTAGTTTTTCCTGGGAGAAACCCCAAACCCCACCTGGCTTCTGGCAGGGAGTTGCAGAGAGGGATTTGATCCTTCTTGAGCCTTCCAGATTTGGCTGAGAATAGTGACAAACCAGCCCGAAGTCTCAGAAATCCAACAAAAGCTCAAGCAGAGCACAGGGAAAAGGGATGTGGTACCTTTCAAAGAGGGAAGAAATCTCTATGTGAATGCATGAGCAGGGATGGAGGGGGCAATTTTAAGGGTTTATTCTGTGGCTATCCCATGTTTATGATCACATTATAGAAGTTGTTGTGTGAACAACGAAGATGTTTGGGTACAGGGTGTGTGTGTTTGGTGGGGCAAGTTTAAGAGGATAAATAAATCAGTGAACTCTGAAATCCAGTGTGATTTCTGGGGCTTTG